GCCAGTGTGTGATGCATATTAATTACGTATTAACCTCACACACAAACACGCACACACTTATGCATACAGGCACATTAGTGTGTATTGCATATTAATTACCTATTACCCTTTGTGCTGTGCATTAAGAGCTGCGTGGCATCAGAAAGACAGCTTGCCCAAGGGCAACACACACGCATGTACGCACACAAACATGCACACGCACGCACATTAATACCACCAATGCCGTCTATTCAAATTGCATTCACAATGAGGAATGAGCCATTTCAGCCAGCCAGCCATGACCATAACTAATCTCGCCACAGGAAGTGTATGTGTGTCTGTGTGTGTGCGGATATTAAGATGTATGTGTGAGTGGGTGTGTCCCTTCAAGACAATTAAACCAGTAAAGCACCTGATCCTAAGATCTAACAGCTTGCCTGTCCTTGTATCTGGAGACATTTCACTGTAAGACATCCAACAAGATAAATAATGAAGAGATGATTAAATTAAAAGATTAAATAGTCACTGGAAAAATAATAATGATGATAATTTTAAACTTTCACCAAAAGAATGTATATATTCTTAGACTATAAAGTAAGCTGTGTGGGCTTGAAATTTGAGATATGGTACAAGTGGTAGAGTCTAAACATATGCACTTTGAGAAATGTATTATCCATTGCAAATGTTTTAATACACTGCACATTTTAACAAAAAGTTTTGTAATATTTATTCTCAAAAACACTGTATCAACACTGTTACAGGAACCGTAATAAATACAAATGCAGCACTGTTCTGGTTACATAAAAATTTTACCTTTTTTTCTTAGATTTTATGCATATTGGGGGTGTGTTCTTCATACTATGACAGTTTTCCTTAAGGTAGATTTAAAAAACAAATCGCTATCGCAATATATTCCCGGCATCTTAACATACTCACAGTGATAATACTGTTAGGGTTAGGTAGCCTAATGTTTACCCTGTTCACCTATTGGTTTGACATGTTAGCATGTGAATGAACAAAGTACAGCTGTAATTGGTGGGAATATTACTCTAGTTTAGTTTTGCAGGCAATTCATCAGTAACATACGCGTTGGAAAAAAAAAAAATTAATGCACAAAATACCCTGTTTCTTAAAATCACTGTATGTGCGTTGTAAATTTTTTCCAGTGATCATGTTATGAGGGTAGATGGGTCTGTCATTTGGAGTAAAAATCTTAATTTCACTATGGTAGTAGATACTGATAACAGTTTAAATGAAAGGCGTGAACACTAAGTCACATGTACAGTGATCCAGTTGCCATTTAAATGACATTTAGTCAACTTGCATGTTTTTTTGCGCTTGTCCTAACAGCCACACCACAGACTTTAGGGCTACCCTTAAGCTGTGGTTTGCTCTCAAATCCCACTCTGAACACACATGTTCTTATTCACTCTCTGTGGCATTATTATCCCAGTTTCAGCCTTCAGCTGGCAGTCCTGATCTTCATGCCCTTTTCTTCTGTCTCTAGCAAATCCTTAATACACATAATTAATAAAAACAACTGTCAGAAATGGAGCATGATAAAACTATGCAGTCATTTGCACTCGTGCCGTCATGTCATATCTAACAATACCTGCTTTTAGTTAATTTCAGCACATGTTCTGTGTTCACTTTTCTTGTAGAGCATGCATAATCTATTTATCCTAAATGGAAATGAGCGAGAATTAATGATAATAAATACCTTAACATCCACACTGTTGGTGCTTATTAGTCAACTGGAATTGACTTTCATTAAAGTGGCACGCAATGGGTTTTTTTCCCACCAATTTGCACATTTTAATTGCAAATGTTTATATCATTCTCATAATCATTTGCAACTTCCAGGGGAAAGAAATGCTATTCCATTAACTAAGAGTCTTGTAAGTCTTTGCCTAGAAAATCTGAGATCATATAGTGAACATTATCTGATAAGTGTGTGTGTGTGTGTGTGTGTGTGTGTGTGTGTGTGTGTGTGTGTGTGTGTGTGTGTGTGTGTGTGTGTGTGTGTGTGTGTGTGTGTGTGTGTGTGTGTGTGTGTGTGTGTGTGTGTGTGTGTGTGTGTGTGTGTGTGTGTGTGTGTGTGTGTGTGTGTGTGTGTAATAAATGGAAAAACAAAGTGGTTATCCTCAGCAATGACAGCTTGCAGCCACTGTGGCCAACAGACAAAAAAAGATCTACAGAAACTCAAAACTCAGTCAACAGGGAGTCCAAGTGAGGAGCCATCATAGTACCACACTGTGCCCACAAGCCTACTGTTTGATTGACAGGCGATCTTTTGGAAGTGCGGCACAGACACACCAGGAAGTGAGAGCTTAGTCCCCCACCCCCAAAAAAGAAATAAATAAAAATTGAAATAAAAATAATCATAGTAATATTGGAATATTATCTGAGCCTACCATCACTAATCACTAATATGCTCAAGGGGATTTTATTTTTCTTTCCCCTTCTCTATGCCTCTTCATTGTACTTCACTGTGTGTGTCTGTGTGTGTCTGTCTCTATATGTGAAATGAGCTGCCACCCCAGCTTTATTGATTTGGCCATGGGGCTTTGGAGGATGGAGTCAAGGAGAGCTAGACACCAGACTATGGCAATAAATCTGTATGCAACCATAAATGTGTGTGTGACAACGGGCTGAAGCAGACAAAGGATCAGGTGTGTCCTACTGCCCTGAATGCCTCAACACACACACACACACACACACACACACACACACACACACACACACACACACACACACACACACACACACTCACTCAACGCTTAAATGCTGGGATGTGATGATGACAGAGATGTTTTTATATTCACTCCTTTAATGAATGTAAGGAAAGCAAAAATAAACCGTTTAGACCATCTTTTCACAACTGAATAACATAAACCCTAAAGGCATACATTATTGTCACGGCTCTGTTGAGCATGAGTTATCAAATGTATTACTGTGCTCATTCAAAACTAGGCCAGCTTCATGAATGCCGCAAAAGCAATGTCTTCAGCCTCAACTCATAGTTAGGATATGTGTGGCATCCTACATGCCAAACACATGCAGGCTTTCCTGCATGTGTGCTCCAGGAAACTGCTAGATTTTTATTTTTTATTTCTTTCCCCTAGTGCTGTACAAGCCTCATGCATGGTGGTTCTCAGTATGCATGTTCTGGTCTGCTGTAATATAACAAAAACAAAGTGTGTGTGTGTGTGTGTGTGTGTGTGTGTGTGTGTGTGTGTGGGGTGTGTGTGGGGTGTGTGGGGGTGGTGGGGTGTGTGGGGTGTGTGGGGTGTGTGGGGTGTGTGGGGTGTGTGTGGGTGTGTGAAGCAGAGGTGAGACACAAGAGCGATCCAGGGCAGAGGGAGAATTTTTCAGGCCTAATGTTCCATGACAATAGACCAAGGTTCCGTCAAGGGGAATCAGAGCCACCGCTGCCTAACGCCTAACACACACATGCGCGCACACACACACACTCCACACTCCACTCCTCCTTTGTCTCATCCTCTCTCCTCTTTTCTATCCCCATCTCCCCTCGTAAACTTGACTTTCTACCTCGTCTTGTCTCTTCCCTTTTCCCATTTTATTTCCTTTTTACCTTACCGTATTTTCTCCTCTCCTGTTCTTTATCCTCCTGTCTTCTTGCCCGAAGTTTAATTATGTAGCTCTTAATCACAGTTAGAGCTTGAATGGGCTTTACAACGACCACGTTAACAAACGATGGGTGAAAATAACTGCTCCTATCCTTAGAGTCTTAGAGGACACACATGGATGAAACATCTCCTCTCTCTTGTCCTGTACTCCTTTCACAGGCATCCTCCCTTCTGTCAGAAATTTCATTGACTACACAATATCTATGTAATAGTAATCTATGGAGTCCAATATCCCATTCGTGTTTCATCCTCTGTTGCATGTGTCTATTTGTATCTGTCTGGGTGCAACAGAAAAATCGGAGAGAAAAGGATTCTGTGATAAGTCAGTGATTGGTTGGCTTGGGGGCGCAGCCATGGCAACGGAGGTTGTTGATGTATTCTTGCGTGTTAACATTCTGAGTGTGTCACCCTGCTGTTTACCTGCCCCACTTAGATCAACCGCCTGTCTGTGTGAGTCTGTTTCTGTATTTGTTGAATTTTTTTGTATATGTTTCACATAGGGGGCTTTGTGGATACAGTATTGTGCAGTAGAGGTGACACGTGAGTGGATTTTCACTCCTGTCCCATCGCAATCCTGGAAAAATAACTCCTGTCCCATTCTGTGTTGTGCTTTTCCAAACACGTCATGCACTGGTCAGGTGGCTGCAACCAACCAGCAACCAGCCACCAGAGCAGACATTAGAGAATAAAGAAGAATAAAAAAGACAACAGAATTACTAGCGTTGTGTTCAAAATAAAGTAAATGGTGTTTATTTATATTAGAACTGCATATTTATGGAGTTGACCTGTTGTTAATATGATTCATAGCCCGCCCCAAACTGACTCCAATCGCACGGGAATCCCACAGGATTCCCAAAACAATGTCAGCCTATATTGTACAGCCGATGCAAGAACAAAATTCCTGTTAACAAATCACTGAATTGAATTGTGGCTATAAATAAAATGGAAAGCCCCTAAAAACATGAAAAAGAGAACAGGCTTGCACAGGTTGGATAAAAGAAATAATCCCTGAAGGGGGATAAGAAGAAATCAGTCTTCAAAAGAAACAAAGACAAATTACAAATGTGACAACATAAACAAGGTGACAAATGCTGCTTTTAATTTCAACTCCGCAGCTACTGTAGTGTCTCTGATGAGGAACCTCAAAACAACCTCAACCACCCAGGGAATTTTCTACTGACCTTTTTTTTTTTTTTTTCTCAAAGGAACTAACCATGCTGTCCCGCTTTTTCTCTCCCCCACTTTTTACCACTCTCCCCATGACCCCCTTCCTTTTCCTATTTGTATGTCTACTCTAATCATCTCATCTTTTCTTTATCCAACCCCAAAAACCCTGTGACATCCACCCCCCCTTTCCTCCTGGTCTTTCAGTCTGCAAAGTGGGGTTTTACCGTTCGCTGCTGGAGTCTTTGGCCTGCAGTAAATGTCCACCCCACAGTGTGGCCAGGCAGACAGGAGCCACTGCTTGCAGCTGTGAAGATGGATACTATAAGATTGACTCTGACCCTCCCAATATGGCCTGCACACGTGAGGATATAAGACCTTTTTATTTGCACATGCATACTTCTGTTTTACTGCTCAATTTTGCTCATGTACTTTGGTTCTTTGATATGCATGACAACTATTTAACCTTCATGGATGTTTTTCTTACCTCTCTTTCCATGTCTCTCAGGCCCTCCCTCTGCTCCACGTAATGCCATTTCCAATGTCAACGAGACTAGCGTTTTTCTGGAGTGGTCAGTCCCCATGGAAACCGGTGGCAGGAAGGATGTGCGCTACAACATCCTGTGCAGACGGGTCTTGCCAGATGGAAGGGGCTTGGAAGAATGCGGCCCCAACGTACGTTTTTTGCCACGCCGCATCGGCGTGTCAAACACCTCCGTGATGGTGGCCGACCTGCAGTCACACACCAACTACAGCTTTCTGCTGGAGGCTGTCAATGGGGTGTCAGAGCTGGCCAAAGACCACGCAAAGCAGTATGTGTCACTTAATGTGACAACCAATCAGGCAGGTATGTTGCATCAGATCTGTCAAAACTTTCAGTACCTGCTTTTTTGCCAATCATAGCCTCCCCATGATTTCTCCAATCAACACCACAGCTGTCCTGTTCCCCCCAGCCCCAGTATTCAAACATGTTCTGAATTTCCCAACTGAAATCATCACCATTTTGTCATAACTCTTTTTTTCCCCCTTCTTTTATTGGGACTGCCACAGACCCACCTGTGTGTCGGATTCCTGGCATGAATATCTGGGTTTGATAACAAAGACACCAGATGATCAAATTATCACAGTATTTGTCCAACAAATCTGTCGCTGTATTAATTTTCCCTTGCGTACCATCCCTGCAGTGAATGAGGGAACATTGCACAGTGGAAAGCTTTTTGCTTTTTGCTTTTGCATCCAGATTTGTCATTGAAAAAGCAGCTTGGTCCCCTCAATTAAGCAGTACATTTCATCAACAAGATTTGCAGGAATTGGTGGCATAATGAAAGCTCTTGATTCGCAGGCTGTTTGTGTATGTGGTAGCAGGTGTTATTCTGCATGCCTATCAACAGTGATGAATCAGGCTGATGACTTGCAAGTTTACATGTTATATTTAAGCTGGGAAGTACTATTATCGATCAACTCCAAGCAAAAACGAAAACTTCAGCTGGTATAATGTTGTGCACTTGTAGCTGCTTGAAATATTTTATTATCTACGATGCCAGAGCAGTTTAGAAAATCTGTGTAATTAAAGTATGCTTGAGCAAGACCCTAAACCAACAACACTGAAGTGAGCAGCGCAGCGGCCAAACATAAAAGAGCACTCTACTATTGCACAATGAAAGAATCCAACTGCTCCCCGTAGCTGTAAATATTGGAAGCTTTGTTGGTTTTCCTTTTTAAATTGAGATTAAAATTCACATCTGCTTTGGGAACCAGTTTTTATGTTTACATGAGGTGTGTGCTTGTGTTGTTTATTTATTTGCTTGTAATGAAATGGGTAGCACACAGCGTAATGAAATGAGAAAAATATGAGCTTAATGCTCTCCTTCCCAGGGCTTCCATCTGTAGGGGAGGCTGGAGGGAAAAAAATGTTTTGAAGGAGTGTGTTTGCTCCTATTTGTTGAACAGATGGTTCATTGGCAGTGTGGTAATAGTTGGAAGTAGTAGTAGTAATATGAGTAGTAGTAGGATGAATACAGTATGTGTGTGTAGGAGAGACAGACAGACAGAGAGAGGCAGACGGTTGCCTGACAGTCGAGAGTACTGACGGCCCTCTAACTGTGTTGTCACTGTGGCTGTCAGAAGCCTCAATGGATTACATCAGACTGCAGAACTCGCATTCAGTTTATTGGAGTTGTAGCTGGATTAAAGTTAGCCAGTCACTGGACCAAATGGAGATTAGGGATTATGTTAGATTATACATGGTTGGCAGAGTCACAGATGGATAAAATGTGCTGCTCTTTGGCATGAACGTGGCACGAGCCTGTTAGATTAGATTAGATAAATATACTAATCTGGCCAATAAGGCAGCACATATAAATATACAGTACATATATATTACAAATAGTGGCAGACTGTGCACACAAAAATAAAGAATAAATACAGTTGTAACATAAGACTTTAATGAAACTTCATTTAAACAAAACAAAATAAATGTCCTTGTGATTGTTGTGATTCCAAAATCACATAAATGAATGTTTAGAGAAAATAATAGCGTTTGGTTCAAAATGGTGTGATCCATTTTAGTGAGTCAGGTTGGTAATGCAAAAGAAAAACATTTACAGGATAACAAACTGGAAACATTGGAAGGTTGACAGGTTTTGAACAGCTGTACCAATAGTGCTGTTTGGCTGTTCCAATTATCTGGAATACAGATTGCAGAACATATGTGCAAACGTGTGTGCTCACATGCAAATGCTTAAAGTGTTCAGATGAACCATTTACAGTTAACTGTACCGTAAAATAAAATATTTTGCCAAGTAAATTCAATAAAATCCACTGCACGACTGCAAATCTAACCCTTATTGGTGGCATTGCCCATTAGTTCAGTGAACAGGAGGTACAGAAGGTTCCATGTGGTTGTAAACTTTATATCAATATTAAATTAATTCACTCATATTATTTCTATTTATTAACAAGTAATTTTTCAGACCCATCACAGCACCAAAATATCACATCCAGACCTTCTTTATCTTAAGTAAGTGGTTCCTGACCTCTCTAAGGGTCACAAGATAAATGTGATGATTAACAGGATTAGAAAGAGGGAAAACACTCATTTTTTTTTGTCTAACACACTCTGATCCTGCCTCGCCTCTGTATCACAGATGTAATTATCCAATGAAGACTTTGATCAGTATAGTAAACATCTGTGTTTTTGGGTTGTGCGTTTTGACTGTGCTTTTGCACAGGGTAAAAAGGTGAAAAGGAGATACTGAGACAAAAGTACTGAGAGACGGGGGCGACGGGGAGACAGACAGAGACAGAGAGAAAGAGTCAGAGGATCTGCCGTTTGATGTGTGGGAAGTGTCACACTCGATAAGGGATCCGTGAAATAGGTGATTTCACAGTGTCCCTGTGAAGCCCTGCTGAATAATAAAGTGTTGGTACTCGTGAGGAGGAGAGGTAAAAGGCAAGAGGGAAGGTGGAAATAGAAGGACAGAACAACAAGACGGAGGTAGAGATAGAGGGGACAAACTGTGGAACAGAAGTGATGGGGAGGTAAGAAGGGAGAGATTGCAAGAAGAGGAAAAGAAAGAGGGAAAAAAGAGGAGAGAAGGAGAGGGTGGACATTAACTGCTTGTACACATTCAGAAAACATTCAGAGGTCTGGTGCAGCTTAACCATTTTAAAAATTCAAGTCATATATTTTGCTGTGCTTTGATGTCGCCTTTCACACCAATAGTTTTGATAAGGTAGCTAGCTAGCAACCACTATTAAATTGTAAAAATTCATTTAAAAAAATAAAAAATGAATCACCAAACTGACTACAGAACTATTCCTGCAGCCCAATGGCATTTCCAGTTGTCTATGTTTGAGATAGTTGGTTATGCTTTGTGTATAAAACTGAAACAAAAAAGACTTGTGTGACATACTATGAGCATACTGTTCATTCTACACAAGGAGAAAATATCATTCATGATTCCAAATTATAAAATCAAAAAAAGTTTGAAATATAACTGGCCATGAATCATCAATAATCAAATTCGGTGTTTGTTTGCCAATAAGCTTTATGTGCACCATAAATGAGTTTCTGTGGTAGCTCAGCTCTATTATGTCTTTATTTCTGGCCATTTGTTTTTCATGTTGTTCACAGTGTGGGAGCACTGTGTGGTAACTGCACACTAAATGTTCCCATACATTGTTTTTGCTGTTGTAGGCTATTAATCAAATGAATCGTGATACATTACCTTGTGGGTGGTTAAAAAAAAATAAATAAGTGCACAGCCTGGTGCTCTGCCCATGTGTCTTACTTTTGTTTAGATGTAAAAGTAGTGGTCACCAGAGTGTTTGCACTGAAACCACAATGAATTGAACTCGAGGATTAAAGAAGACAGACGAGCTATTTGGTAGAGCAGAGCATATGGGTATAGAGAGTGGGTAGGAAAGCAGCTGGCCGTGGGGCACATGAAGGCAGGAAGTCTTCAGTTTTGGGTTAAGGGGGATCTTATATTTTGAGTACGGATGCCAGTAGCCCTGTTTCAAGGCTGTTGGCGTATCACAGCCTGGTACTGCGCCAAAGCGTTTAAAATACACACACCAGTCCACTGTGGCAGTGTCACGTTTTCAGCATGTGCACTTTCCTCAGTCATGTTAACAATAATAAATATGCAACATCTGGTAACACTTCTGTCTGATTATGTTTAGGGGCCAAAAGTACTTTGTTAGGTTTAGGAAGAGATCATAAGTTACGTACCTGACAAGTCAAGACTGACTTTCGACTTTACACATGGGACTCAAACAGCTGTCTCTTGGGTGACAGTCTTGTGTTTGTTGGAACCATCCATCCACAAACTTCCACCCTACACGGACTGCCATCTTCATACACCTGTGTACATTGTACATCTAGGCGAGGCAAAACGTGACACTGACAGAGTATCCCCTAGTGGATCGGCTGATCTATTACACGCTGTGGTTTGGGACTGGACCGCGTATCATGCTCCTAGAAACAGGAACCTGAACATTTCAACCACTCAGAGATTCTTCATTTATTATCACTGTAAAAGAGAGGAAGAAAGAAAGAAAAGCTCATGTTTTCTTCCTCACTCACCAACTGCCGTGCTGCTAGCAGCAGTGCTGGCCCTACTGGTCAAAGGCAATATAGGAGGAAATGAAAGAAATTATTAATAAATTATTCAACATCTTTTTTGTGCGTAGTTTCTTCTGACTTTTAGGGAATTCAGTCTCTGTTAAAATAAATAATATGTTTTGTTTCTTTACACATACCTGACATCTTGTACTTTCAATTCATAAGACAGTTGCCTCCACCTGGTTGAATTCGTACATTTGGTATTCTATTAACCATATTTTTATGGATTATATCCCTTTATTAGTCAGACGACAGAGAGATTACATGAAATAAGGGAACTGATATAGGGAACAACATACTGCATAGTTCCTTTGCCGGACACTGTGAACGTTGCAAACCCCACGGTCAAGAAGGTTCCCACTTCTTTCAGGATCCTTGTTAGGATTTTTATGACTTCCTGACTAAAATGTGCAGGTCTCAGCTGACAGGAATGCAATGCATTGTACAGTACGACGGATTGTTTCATGGCTGCCAAATGACTGTCACCGTTTCAAATGTATGACAAAAGACTGGCATGAGATAAAGCAAGTAGGCAGGGGGTTAAGTTGCAAACAAAAGATGAGAGCAGCTTTGCTACTTTACAACCTCAGGAAGAAGCCATCTCTCTCTCTGTCTCCTATCTCTCTCTCATTCTCTCTTTCTGTCATTCTCTGAGGGTAGTTAAAGGATAATAAACCAGATATTTGAAGGTCTGTATTGATTTTGGTGATGCTTCAGACAGATAGCGGTCTGAGAGGCTCATGTTCTGCGCTGTGATAACGTTGCTCTTATCTGAGGCCAGAGTTGTTACACTGGAGGGCTGCACTCGTCCACTGAATAGCTTTCACTTCAACCTTTTCTAACCTTTCTCTTCGTGAAATAGAAGGATTCACAGCTTCAGGTTGATAGAAAAACAGAAAAGAGCACACAGATGTAAATCATGGGGAAAAAGAGGTTCGTGTTCATTTGTGGGCTGCCTTCCTGTACTGTTCATTAGCAGATGTAACAAGCACAGGAAGTGTTTAAACTTGGAAGTGTGATTCCACTGTCTTCACTGATGCTAAAATGAAAGTGTTGCTAGGGCCCTGTCTACACTCTTTCACCACATCTCCCCCTCGATGTGTCTCTCATATATTTCATCTCTTTTTTTTTTTTCCATTTTTGTCAAGCCTCTCGCTTGTCTTCCACCCCCTCGTCCTCCCCCTCCTTTAGCACCCCTTCCCTCTCTTTCCTCTCTTCCATTCTCTCTCTGCATTTGCATTTCTCAGTTATGGATGTTTAAAACACTTGATTAGTGCTTCTGTTGACCAAAACGCTGTTTTGGGTGCTATATATGGATGTCGTGCAAATGTGCTTCAAATAAATCTGTTAAATGTACAGAAAACAGTAAATTACAATAAAGGAAGCTTTAGTCTTGCACATTTTGAACATGTAGTTTTCTAACTAACTAAAATAAGAATAGGAGTGAACTTCTGGAATATATTCACAATTGGTGCTTAAATGATTAGTCAATACACTGAAAATGTAAACAATGCTTAGTCATTTAAGTAATTTATAAAGCATTATGTATCTGTTTTCTACTGTTATGTGAATATATTTGGGTTTTGGACTTTGAATCGGACAAAACAAGCAATTTATAGACATCGGCTTAGGCTCTGGGAAAATTCTGATGGGTGTTTTTTCACAATTTTTCTTTTCTTCTAACATTTGACCCAATCAATTAGCTTCAATCTCAGTTCAAATTTTATATATTTTATATGTGGAATATCACATCAGGTTTATTTATATAACCCAAAATCTATATGTATATAATATACCAGATGGCTTTACTCTCTGTATGCTTTCATATGACACCCTCTATTCAACTTTTGATTAAATATAGCATGGCAAACTGCATCCCTTTTTGGAGGATTTATACTTAGATTTTGGGGTTTTGTTACCCGTTAAGCTGCTGGGAAAAGAAGCCATCTCTCTCATCATCGCATCCCAGCATTTATACCATTTAAGCGGGGTGTGTGTGTGTGTGTGTGTGTGTGTGTGTGTGTGTGTGTGTGTGTGTGTGTGTGTGTGTGTGTGTGTGTGTGTGTGTGTGTGTGTGTGTGTGTGTGTGTGTGTGTGTGTGTGTGTGTGTGTGTGTGTGTGTGTGATTCGGTTTCTGGTTTCAGGCTTTTAAGATGTTGCAGATAACACTTCTGTGCGACCATCCACTCAGGATACAGTTACTGTGTTTGTAGCGATGATTTATTCCCTCTGGAGTTCTGCTGAGGCTATTGAAACCTAAACGGTGTTTAGCATTTGCAGTAGAGGCACACACACACACACACACACACACACACACACACAAACACATACTATCAGGATGTTGCCTGAGGGAGCATTTTGCCTGGTGAAAAGCTCTTTATGTGTCAGAGACTCTCCAACTGTCCCTTTGAGAGATGGGCAAACAGTTCAGGTTACAACAGGATGGCCCAATGATTGATGCAAACTCACACTCACTTGACTTCAGAACTTACAGAATAAAAAAACTATAATGGAAACAGTTTTCTCCTGTGATAGTATGGCCACTTTTTAAGACATAAACCACTAGAATTGATACGTGATATGTATAACATTACCACAGTAAATACAGTCTATATAGTGCTTGCAGGATTTTCACTTTGTCACTACATTATTTAACAATTTTTAAATGTGTATTCCATCCTCAGCAGACCGCCTAACTTGGTATACCAAAAACTCTGTGCCAGATGTGTAAAGTCATAGTTGACGTTAGTGGCTCCTCTGCCAGCATCTACTGAATAGCAAAATATAAAAGGAAGTTTAATGAGGCACAGGTGCAGCCAGATTGCAAACATTTTTTTTTCAGAGGCAGAGCTGCTCTGGAACCAGACATAATCTCTGTGGTTGAGTTCAAGCTCAATAGACTGCGCCAAATTACCTCAGAGGAACTTTGGTAACTAACAAACTTAAATTCCAAGGAAGGAACTCTGGAGAAAATATGATAAAACATGGCAGATCTTCTTTTTTCTCACCCAGCATGACAGAAATACCCAACAGCAAACACAGATGTACATTGCTGCGTGTTGGTCTTTTTTTTGTGATTTTGTTTCATCTTCAGTTAAATATTTCATACTGAACAACAATCACAGCAAGCATTACAATTAGCTCTGCGCATGTAAGCATCAAAGAATGAGGTGTCATCAGGAGAGGACTGTCTTAAAGATGCTGATTGTACCCAACATACCCATTTCTCTTGTGTTTAATCACTGTTTGATGTTAGGTCAGTCATGTTAAATACTGGAATTGAAGAGATTCACTTGCATCATATTAAACTTATAGATTTTGTACTACTCCAGCAAATGAATGTGCTCGAAATAAAATGAACTATGTCTTTATATCTGTGTGTGTGCAGCACCCTCCCCAGTGAGTGTGGTGAGAAAAGATCATACTGGAAAGAGCAGCATCGCTATTTCTTGGGCGGAGCCTGATCGCCCCAATGGTATCATCCTGGAGTACGAGATCAAGTATTTTGAAAAGGTAAAAAAAAAGTACTTTTTTAATCATTTCATAATTGTTTTGTCAATCTCATGTTCTCCCTAATGCAAATTTATATACTGGTAATTTCAAACAGTATTGTGATGAGCTAACAGCACTATCGCAGAACGTATGTATACTTCTGAGGTTGAGAGTTAACTTTCAAAGCCGTTTTTTAAAACTGCTGAAAAAGCTGTATTTCATGCATTTGAGAATATGATGATGCTAATTTAACCCAAAGCACCAGTGGATGTTTGCCTTATAACAGCCCTGTACTCCACATATTTAATGCATTACAGGTACAGAAACTTTTGTTCAAATTGGCCCTCAGAGATACAACTGAATATACATTCAGTTTAACTTGAAGCATTTTCTTTTTTTACTTTGGCCACTGAGAAAACCTGTACCTCAAAAAGGCTCTTTCTTGGGACCGCTCTGTAGCTGTGTGGTTTTCTTTTAAGTTGGACTTGGGTAGAGACAGCAATTTGATGCTTGTATTCAGATCATTGTTCCTGTGCCCTTCCTCTTTTCCCTCTTTCATCCTCTGTTGTCTTCTTTTCTGGGAAGGTCAGAACAAAGGTGCACAGGAGAGCAGAGCAGGGTTTGTGGTCAGTGGTTAGCTAATGGCCTCTGGCTAATGGAGGGGACATTTAGCTTTGTTTAAACCTGATGTGGTTACAGTTTGGAAACCGATCCTCCCACACATGCATTTAAACACACACTCACACTCACACATGTACCACTATAGCTTAGCCATAGAAATGTGTAGAAGAATGGGGGGGGGGATACAGGCGACAACACAGATAAACAAATAATCATAAAGGCTACAAAAATGTATGTAAGGCATTCAAATGAAATACACTAACCCCATCTCCCTTTCTCTTACTGCAGGAGCAGGACTCGAGTTACACTATTATTAAATCCAAGGAGACTGAGATGGTGGTGGAAGGGCTGAAGCCCTCTTCAGTCTACATCTTCCAGGTAAAGCAAACAAAACAAATATGTGCATCTATGTAAGGATGGCAAAAAAAGCAGTTTAGTCTAAAGTGAAAAAAGAAGATGTGAATAAACAATTACAAAGAAGTTGTTGAATCAAAGTCATGTCTAACACATGCATAGACATGAAAATATGATGTGATATATTTGGATATGATGCACTACAGGTGCGAGCCAGGACCTCAGCAGGCTATGGCGCATTCAGCCGACGTTTTGAATTCCAGACAAGCCCTTACTGTGAGTACACATGGCAGTAATAATAAAGTTCAACTTGCATGTGACTTTCACCTGCTTTTGGAGGCTGCGTGAAAAAGAGATGCCAGGTGTGTTTTTGTGTGTGTACCATGTGTGTCTTATCCCACCTCTTTTTTTCCTGCAGTAACAGCTACCAGTGAGCGTGCTCAAGCTTCAATAGTCGTCGTGGCCATCACGTTGGCTCTGGTCCTGCTGGCAGTAGTCGCTGGATTCCTGCTCAGTGGACGGTAAGACTCAAATACACACCGAACGAAATATAGACACAACCAGGAAAGCGTGTATATATTTATACATATGCAGGTGTAAGTACATGCAGGTATGCCCACACACATATTTCTCCTGTGGATAGGATATCTGCAGCACATTAGATGCTACTAAGAGTGCTGGAATACAATGAAAATTCTGACTTTATAAAGATATAATTCATGTGTTGCATTGTAAGTTTTATATGTTGTGTTATTGGAATCGTTAAGTAACACTGAGCTGGTAGCGTGTCAAGGACATTCAATTTTTTGCTTCTGAATGTATGATGTGAATTTATTGAAGATGTGGGAATTTTGCCAGTTTGTAGTGACATCCCTCAATCTCTCACCTTTGGAGAAAGTAAAGTGATTGGATGATGAGAGTAAACTTTTTATAAACAGAATTTTACAAAGACAAGACAGGACATCCAAACTTAATATATTTAGGAACTGTTCTGTCCATGAAAGGAAACGAAGAGTGTCACAGTTTTATTTCTAAATACAGTCTGTAAAGCACATTAGTCATTTAGAGAGAGAGGACATCCCCTTGTACTCTTCTGACCTATTGCTGACAAACAAAAATGCATATCAAATCTCATTTCTGACCCAGTTATGTGTTCATGGGATTAGATAAATGGCTTGAGGTTAGAGTTTTGTTATAGGTCAGGATTAAGGGATAGTTTTTAGGTTAGTGGTTTGGGGTCGATGCATACTGTACAAGCCAGTAGATTCTCCTCAAGTCTGGTGACGCAACTTTTCTCTGTTACACATCGACATTTAGCACTGTGTGTGCTCCATGTACCTGCATGCCTCCAGGCTCATATGACCTATACTTAACCTTGTCCTTTAAATGGTACAACCAATTTTCTGATATGATTTTCACACGACATACACAAATAATGTATATAGCAAAGGAAGCTCTCAAGCACATAATTGATTTTATGTCCATAAATGTCCCCCAGACTCTTTTGTTTATCTATAAAAGTCTCTGAACTCTTGATTCCATCTTCTCTAACCACATTTTCCTGTGATATGTATTTAATTTAGTTCATTACCAGCTATACATGTCCAAATCCTTTTACTGAGGGCAGGTTTACAAGGCTCAGTGTGAATTCAGATTCACATCCATACTAGTGTGGTCTGTTCTTCCACCCATCTCTCCATTCATGTATTTGTATTATTAAGCTTATGTCCATCTATCGTTCATCATTTTTGCATCCATACACACCTTTTGTTGCTCCTTCATTCATTAACCTCTCTGTCTCTTTAACTATTCGATTGTCTTTTTTGAAATGTATTCCCAAAGATATTCTGAATATGTAGTTATCTGACAGAATGATCAGATGAATAGACGGTGGGGGGCTCTGGTGATGTTCAAGGATTAAACAGCAAATCAGAAAGACACAGTGGGGATTTTGGTTTAGCCGAACACGGATGAGGATCGAGGATGGCTCGGGTTTTTGTGTGGGGGAGGAGAGATGGAGGAATGCCAAATTTTCCAGTGATGGATTTGGGACACAAGCACCACAACCCCCCCATCCACTGTATACCGCCTCCCCCTCCCCTGCTCCTGCATGACCCTCCAGACTACACACGCATGCATAGACATCCAGACACAGCACACATGTGTAGAGACACAGACACATAAGCACTGATGCATGTATGCATGGGTTAACACACACACACACACGCAGACGCACACACATACAGGAAGTTTGGAGGGCAGGCTGGGCATTGAGCTTGCTCAAACCCCTTGACTCAACAGACCCGGCAAACTAAATACCCTCAGGCAGACACACATGTACAAAACACACACACTCACACAGACTCCCCTCCCCCAGACTATCCAGCTGCCCATACCAAACCCCTCCAGCCAAGCCTGGCTGTCCTACAGAGAGCTGTGATGGGAAAGAGTTGGACATGACCCCTGTGTGTGTGTGTGTGTGTGTGTGTGTGTGTGTGTGTGTGTGTGTGTGTGTGTGTGTGTGTGTGTGTGTGTGTGTGTGTGTGTGTGTGTGTGTGTGTGTGTGTGTGTGTGTGTGTGTGTGTGTGTGTGTGTGTGTGTGTGTGTGTGTGTTGTCGCTGTGTTCAAGCACTGGCTTTTTTTGTCTTGAAGAACGAAAAAGTGAGGAAAACTCAGCCATCTAAAACATTTTATTGACTCATGGTCTGACAAATGCAGTAGAGTAAATGCATGCATTCACCTCAAAAGTATACAAATTTTAGTGCTATGTCTCTGTGTCTGTTTAGTCAGCGTTATATGTTTGCATGTGTGTTTGTGTATAGGATCAAGTTTAAAATCAATCCTCCTGTTTAATCTGGGTTATCTGTGATTATCTCTGATGCTGCTTGTCTAAATATTGACATACTGAAGCTTTGAGCACACAGACACATATCCACACGGCAAACAAATGAATACAGGTTTTGGCCTATACGTCCGAAATACACAGACATGTTTTCTCAAATGAGCGTGAGGGAAAAATATATCAAGATGCAGTCAAAAGCCAGTGACGCAAATAATCTCTCCTATATGTCATTTTTCTTTTGGGCAAGTTGACCAAAAAGCATTATTTTGTAAGTGCAAGACTGCTTTCTCCTCTGCCAGAAGTCAGAGTTGATCTGTTGACGAGGGCTTTCTTAGAAAGTTGTTTTATTTGAAAACTGCAGTCCTTTGCTAACGTCTAAAAGGCTGGTAGTTTTCAGCACTTTCAGCAATATTTTTGAGAACCTTGAAATGTAAGTTAGCAGATCCTATGAGAAAATAAAAAGCTTATGTTGCACTTAGATCCCTGTGTGATCGTACTCTCAGTTGGCCAGGATTTGCTTTTCTGTGTCTGGACCATTTTGTGGTATCTTTACTCTAATCTCTGTCTGTGTAAATGTCACTGTTTGCTCTTCGTTTAGATATACAGTAGATAAAATGCGTAAGGGCCATCATTTGTGCAACCTTGTACTAGAAATTGGAAAATGATGTAAAGAAATGATGTCATTGCTAAATGATGCAGCAGAGGCAATTTATCTCTCTGAAACTGAATGTTTTTTAATGTGTCATTAAATAAAAATAACTTGAAGGGCACACTGAGAGCACATACATCCACCAAGGCCAATAGTCCAGTCTTCTGTGATATGCAAATCTGCAAGCGCAACCAGTCTGTATTACAACTGACCTATCTCGCAATGTTAACGAAACTGAATAATAATTGTGTATCTGCCCCATTATTCAGATCTGCTCCAAATTAAATAGGCTCTTCCTTAGCCCATGCTACACCATTCCAGTTTCATGAAAATCAGGCCACTTGTTTTTCTGTAATCCTGCTGACAAACAAACAAACAAACAAAAGGCACCAAAATGTAACCTCCTTGGTGGAGGTCACAATAGGGGGGCTGATTGCCAGAGCTGTTTTATTGCTGAAAATACTGCTGATTAGCATCCACCTTTTTTTAACAGTGTTGATGAAATTATCATTTATGCACGCGTAATTGTCAAGGTTTGCACATAGAAATACTGTAATATGACACTGATTCTGCTGTGTTTGTGTCTCAGGCGGTGTGGCTACAGCAAAGCAAAGCAGGATCCTGAAGAGGAGAAGATGCACTTCCACAATGGTCACAGTAAGTTAAGAAACCCCACTCATTCTGTATATCTGTATGTGTGTTGGCAAGTTCATCCAAAGTTTACTCTACATGTACACTAGAGGGTTCATACAGTGGTCAAGTCTGCATGAGTTTGTTCATCCCTGTAGGCGGGTGTGTGTGTGTGTGTGTGTGTGTGTGTGTGTGTGTGTGTGTGTGTGTGTGTGTGTGTGTGTGTGTGTGTGTGTGTGTGTGTGTGTGTGTGTGTGTGTGTGTGTGTGTGTGTGTGTGTGTGTGTGTGTGTGTGTGTGTGTCTCTCAACCAGTTCGGTTGACAATGTTTGTCACTAGGAGCTATTCTTTGAATGACACAACTACCAACCAGCTCCATGGCAGCCATGTTGGCAGAGGACACACAAAGCTATGATGATTTATAGGCTGTGACAGCTTAATATATTTGACCACATTTTTGGCATTGTATCCAGCTATCCATCTGTTAGCATCAGAGCCGACCATGACGGGTACATCAGCTCCGGAGAAATCAGGGGGAAAATAATGCCACATTGCCAATATGTGTGGTTTACTGTCATATTCATTCATACAATAAAATGATTTTTTTTTTTAAAAATGAGTGTTATTACTTATCAGGCCCTCAAAAAGTGATAGAAAGTGTCTTGTTTTTGAGATAACTGAAGTTATGAATCATTGTATTTTGTTCCCTAGGCTCAGTATTTTAGGTAATTTTGGTAAGTACTTTCTGTAGGAGTGATGTGTTTTAAAAGGTAGAATAATAATAATAAGGGCTTCAGGAGGTCAAAGCAAGAACTAAATCACATCACCTCAACAATATGAAAAGCCAGAAAAAATATTGATTAAGACATATGGATAATCACACTATCACAGTATACATTATTTTGTGTATTTATATCAGAATAAAAGATAATAGACACATTTATGGAAATTCAAACAAGAAACGGACAAATCAAGCTACTACATCAACTCGGATGCAAAAATCTAAACAAAAATCAATATTGCCATAAAGTAATCAGGCTCCTCGATTTGCAACATTGTCTGCAACAGCCTAATACAACGCTTGCAGCATGTTCAGGTAAAGAGTGGGACCACCATTGTTATGTATACATGCATTGTATTGTGTATTCAAGCCTGAATATATGTTAATAATGGTAAATGACATCTAAATGGTAATGACGCCATGCCTGTGTGTCTGCAGTAAAGTTCCCGGGGGTGCGTACCTACATTGACCCCCTCACCTATGAAGATCCCAACCAGGCAGTGCATGAATTTACCCAGGAGATCGACGTCTCATTCATCTCCATAGAGAGGATCATCGGAGCTGGTGAGTCTGACTCTGTGAGTGTGTGTGTGTGTGTGTCTGTGTGTCTGTGTGTCTGTGTGTCTTTCTATGTATGTGTTTTGCAGATGCCCTGATTCTTATTCTGAGCGTCAGTTTGGGGATGATTTGGCCAGAATAATGTATCAGAGAATACATTATTGTTCATTCCAAAGTGAACCTGTTCAGTCAAGCATGCTCGGGTAGAATATTGTACTATTCATCAGCTTAATTTCAGACAATACTGTATGAAAACACACTCGATGTACAGTCATAACAGTAATGAGTCTAGCCTAATTTTGTCTTGCTGTATAGAATTTAACTATTTTCTCGTTACCTCTATAATAGTGCGTCATATTTTCTTCAACCTGCATAAACCTGCCACATTCCTGATTGCATGTCTCTGTATATAGACGAACATTTAGACACAGTCAATTAAGCCAAACACTGTGCTAGAAAATAACACTTCTCACAGCTTTAAATGGTGCTCGTCCTCTGCTGACAAACATGTTGATTTGAAACATTTGTGAGCCTCACAAGCATTCTGCAGTTCAATAGGCCCTTCAGTGTAAGGCTACTTGTGTTTTTTAGGTTCTTATCTGTTGTGATAATGAGCACTGAGATGACTGGCGCTTGCCTGGTATTTATACAGAAGTCAGTCATTTGGTTGCATTGTGGAACAACAAACAACATAAGAAATGGATTGCAACCGGTGGAGATGAGAAATATCTGAAGATGCCCTTGTAGTCAAACTCAGTATCAACAACAAAATAAAGTTTTTTTTCCCGAATTTATTTAGGTTTTCTTTTTCTCCACAGCTTTTTAAAGTAGCATGGGTTCGTAGTCTTCAAACGTATACCTGGTTTCAAATAAAGCAACTAATCAGTATGAAAACACTACAGTGTGAACTTTTAGATTTAGATCACTGTTAAGGTTTGTTTCACCATATGACAAGACTTTTGCAGATTAGTGTGGGCTGAAATGTTGAGGCCACAGTCATGCTCTATGTCTTTTCCTCAGGGGAGTTTGGCGAGGTGTGCAGCGGACCACTGAGGCTGCCTGGGAAGAGAGAGATCCAGGTTGCCATAAAGACCTTGAAAGCAGGCTACACAGAGCAGCAGAGACGCGACTTCCTGTGGGAGGCATCAATCATGGGCCAGTTTAACCATCCAAACATCATCCACCTGGAGGGCGTGGTCACAAAGAGTGAGTCATTGTCTGTTTCTAGTCAGATTTAACAAACGTTTTTTTTTTGCCATTTATAACGCATGTATGTCACAATGCAGATTATTCAGGCTACTCATAGGGCAGTTGTACTGTCTTGATGTTTGGGAATCTCAAGCTCGACTTGTCAGGTTAAAGTTTGCTTGTCAAACTCGGCTGTGATTTCTTCAGTCGATAAGCTGTACTTTGTCAAGGTTTTTTTAACATCTGTCACGCTCAAGTGTTCTTCATCAGTCAGGTTCAGATGTGCTTTGACAGCTTCAACTGTGGTTTATCCAGGCTCTACTTTTGAAATCCCCTTTTTCTGATTTGAACATTCGTGCCATTGATTTCATCAAGTGTTAGAGTAACAACAAAATTACTAGTAAAATATTTCAGAAAGCTCCAGTAGTGTGTGTCTAGGAAGGGTAAAGACAGCATCACGGCAGTCAGGTTCATTATTCTTATATGTAATTCTATTTTATTTTTTTTACTTGGTTACACACACACTGTAATTATTACTCTTCATCTCCATATTCATTTGTTGTGATATTTACAGGTAAACAAGTCAAATCCAAACATAGCATTTTATATATATATATATGTATGTCTTGCAATGGGAACTTTGACATGATGCGGTTATATGGAAAAACTGAAGTTACAGCTGAGATGAGGGATGTTGAGCTAACTCTTGATGTAGTAGCACAGTTTATACTGATAAAAAAACTTACTATGTCGGAAAAGTTGAGTCCTGGAAAGACCAAAGTACAAATTCTGTAATATTCATGGTTGTTGAATGTTTTCATGTTTTGCTTTTCAGGCAAGCCAGTGATGATCATCACTGAATACATGGAGAATGGATCACTGGACACTTTCCTCAAGGTATATCAGACAGGATGCTTAAGAGTGGGGTCATGGGGAATCTAGAGAAAAGGAAGTGAAGGATTGGAAGAGAGAAAGGATGAAAATCATAGGAATTAGACAGTAGATAAAGAGGTGGAAATATACAACAATGGGGAGTAAAAAAAAGGGAAGAGGGAAAGATGGGAGAGAAGAGAGATAAGGAAAAACCACCACTGATTCTCAAGAATCAATCAAAAGGAATTGTTTTAGTGGCATATTTGGGGTATATTAAATGTGAGCTCTCAGACCTAGATCAGTGTTCTGTACTGATAGAAGTGGCAAACGGGCAAGGCTGGAGAGCGACTCCTTGCTAATATTGCATATTGTGGGGACAATTATCACAGAGGTGGCAAAACAATTAATCTTCTGGAAAGGAAAATACATTTATGAGAGCTGTTTGTCATAGAGATACACCACTGTGGGCAAAGAGGATCAGGTGGGGTGAAATGAGAATGTGCCCACCAAAGCTATCATTATTCTGATTCAATACATCATCATTCTACACATTCAAGCAGAAGTTAACTAAGGAAGAAAAAATCTTAGCCGAGGCAGGCGTTACACTCTTTCAAGGGGAAAGAAGAGTTAATTGTGTGTTCAGGTTGACATAAGTATTATTTCTCAGTACATAAGATAAAGCATTTAGGAGAGCAACAATAAATAATACTGAAAGGGATCCCACTTCTAAGTGTATCAAAGAAATCTGAGCACTCAGGGCTGGAATCATGTCTGCACTGTCTAGACAATTTGGACTTTGCTGAGCAGAGAAGGTGAACTATAATGAAGAGGCAGGGTGGCAAATCTCTGAAGTAAATGATCCCTCTCCAGAGCACTTCAGTCTACTCGCTGGTTACAATGGCAAGATGCTCAGTTGGCGGACAAGGCCTAAATCCTGCAAAAAAATTGTAAACTTCTGCAGCAGATGGCTAATGGAGAGATGAGAAAAATAAGGTCATACAGGTGCAAGATGGTACAGTAATGGCGTATTTCAGAACAGAAATTATGGAAATGTGTGAAAGGTGAGAATAACATGGTGGTGTTTGGAGGGATAGGTGTGCTTGAAAGGCAAGGCAGACTGGAAAAGACCTGTACCTGAAGAATATGTTCTCACCCTGACTGTGTAAAATGGGAGGATGCTGTGAAACAAAAGACAGAAAAGGAAAGGTTGAAGAGATGTGCTACGGGGCTGTGGTCACTAGAAACTGCTGACGTGACAGCTCTGTGTGCCTTTGGGAATAATCCTGGATGCAAAGGGGAGGCAGAGGAGCTGGGGAAACAGCAGGCAGAGTAGCACAGAAAACCCTGTGAAGTAATTACATGGATGGCTGGTGTACTGAGGCCGGTATAAATGACACGGCCATGAGAGAAGCAGGGGCTGAACTGGCTCCTGGATTAAGTGTTACAGCTATGGGCATTGCACTATAAGGCTCATAACTCACATCTCTGGCTTAACATCTCATTTTGCATGTAAGTGCGATGTTCTGCTGTAGATGGACAGTTTACATTTGGATTGGGAGGAGCTGAGGCTTAAGCTAACAGTGAGAGCTGTCATTTGGTGAAAACTAAGAGGAACCCTAGTGAAAGTGTTTTCCATGGGAGGGAAAGAGCAGTTCTAGTACTATAATTTACTTTTTTCAAGTACTGTATGAAAGCTAACACCTTCTCCTTTAGCATTAAGCAGTCAGGCAAATTTCTCTTTTCTTTTGTAGCTGTTAATACACTACAAGAAAAATTGTACACATAGTTTCTGGGACTGTTGGCTCCGATCTTGTCACCAGACAGGACATTAATATTAAACAATTTTGCAGATACTGGAATCTGTTCAATGGTAATATCTCAGAGCAATCAGTGCTTAAAATTATTACAATATTTGTGCAATGCAACAACAGCAAAGCAAGATCATGGTTAAGGCAAATACACTTTTATTTAAGTTATGGTAAGGATCATGCAACTAAAACACTTGAGGGGAATTGCTAGTGATGGGGTCAGTGTTTGGACTGGAATTAAAGGGTACCTCCACAGTTCCTCACATTTAAAGGTCTTGCGGTATACAACTGCATATGTGAAAAAAGTTTTATAAAGCCTTTTGTGACCAGAGGAGGTCTAATAAATTGTCTCAAATGAGGTCACTTTTATAAGTCTGTGAGCTCTTTCAGGGAGCTTCCCCTTGACCAACATGCAATAGTAGAGAGAAACACATTCTGTCCTTGGCAAAAGTTCTTTGCCTCGGTTATTGAAAGACCTAATTATTAATATTGGGGTATGGAAATTTGAAGGTCCCACAAGATAAGGCTGAGTCATAGCATGAAAGAAAAAGTGGCCGTGACTTGCTCAAGGAAGACACGGCTCAGCTGGTGTCTGTACCAGAGACTGATTTCATAAAACATGGTGTGACTCTGGGCAACAGGGCAGCAATGAGCTCTGGACAGGATTAGAGGAATCTGTAATCTTGGTTCTGGTCTGCTCACAAAGCAGGAGAGTTAAGAACACGTGGGAAGAATGACCTGATGTACAAAAGGGCACTGGTGATACGAGACATTGAGAACAATGACTTTAGATTGCTATTATCATTGCTACCATAGAGATAATTTTATATTTCCGGGAATTAGTGTATATGAGAGTAGCCTGCAAAAATGTGTACCCTCAGATTATTCCACTGACATAAAACATGTGAGATAAATTAGAACATGAAGAGTTGTTTTTTTGTCACTACACTGTAAGTTACAGTAAATGGCTTTGTGGCTATCAATGGCAGTATGGCTTTCTTGGCTGAAGGCAACTTTTAGGCAGCAGAATTCTTATCATTTTGCAGAGGTCATCCATGTGCTCTCTCTTTTGCCTTTCTATATTGACCCAGTTTTGCAGGCTACACTGCAAAAACTACAGAATAAAACCCATCAGCATTGAACCACATTGTTTCACTGCTTTTTCCCAGACAGGTTTTAATGTCAAACCACACAGGGACTCCATTATCCTTACAGACAGAACTAGTGCATATATAATACAGAATTACAATGCAGTGTAGACACTATGGAGAAGAGCTGCACCGACATTATGCTACTTAACTGAAAGTGCAAATACATGTACGTACTGTAGGTCATCCTGGGTCAGCAAAGTTCATTTTGGGGGATGCTGGCAGACAGTTAACTTCATGAATGATTTATTTTTAGTGGATTTGCAATATTTCTGATTTTAAACATTTGTCACGTGATATTATCCGTCCCATTTTTATCTTCCACTCTCCCCTGAATGCTCTCTATTCACTGTTTGATGGTTTGATTAAGAATATCTTCTAACAAGAATGTCTTTTCCCCGTTTGTCCCTTCTTTTCTTCAGAAAAATGATGGTCAGTTTACCGTAATCCAGCTGGTTGGTATGCTGCGTGGCATTGCGTCTGGCATGAGGTGCGCATAATGTATTATGAGTCCACACAAACACACAATGAATTACTGAGCACATCATTAGGACCCAGGTTTAATCCTCTCCTTTGTGTTGACAAATTCAGATACCTCTCCGACATGGGCTATGTCCACCGTGATCTTGCAGCTCGTAACATCCTGGTCAACAGCAACCTTGTTTGTAAAGTGTCTGATTTTGGCCTGTCCCGGGTCCTGGAAGATGACCCGGAGGCTGCGTACACCACGCGGGTAAGACTGTGCATGTTTGTGTGTGTGTGTGATACGGCTGCAACTAATTATTTTCCCTGTCAATTATCTGTAGATTATCTTTTCAGTTAATAAAGTCTACAAGGCTGATCACTATTTCACAGAGCCTTGTTTTTTCTGACTACAGTCCAGGTCCAAAAATATATTTTTGATCATTTTCAGTGACGTAAAAACATTAGCAAATCCTCCCCTATAAAATAAAATGAAAATATTTGGCAGTTTTGCTTAATAAAGGACTGAAACAATTAATCAATTGTCAGTTTTCTACCAATCAACTAATAGATGAATTAACTTATTGTATTAGCAGTAGTGTGAGAGCGGAAAAGGAATGATAAACTAGAGGGTACACTGTTGTGTCTTTGAGTACATTTATATTTAATCTGGTGTGTATCTCTGTGTGTGCACACCAATTTTGGTATATCAAATTTTGGATTAAGTGGGAAAACTCTTACACAAGAGCCTCGCTCACACCGAATACACGCAAACTTGCATTCATACGCACACACACACAAACACACGCACACACACACACACACACACACACACACACACACACACACACACACACACAGACGGCAGCAGCGGGTTTTAAATTGAGCTGTGTGTCCCAGGCTGAGTGGCGTCCTGTCAGCCAGAGACGGGCTGCTTCCTGCAGAAGGAGGGCCAATTAGTACTCAGCTCGGTCTCCGCAACACTCAATTAGCACTGAGTCTTGCTGCCTTAGCGCCAAATATCCTGTCATTCACCTCTCACTGCCAGGCTACATTTCTTCTTGCGCTCCCTCTCTCTCTTTCTCTCTGGCTTGTCTGGCTCTCTTTCCTTGACAGAGCAGTGAGAATAACATAATTCACACCCTTCAAATAATCAGACCCTGAGATATCCCGCTGCTGTGTTCATCAATACTGCATCAAGCTAATTTCACTACTCATCAGCCGAAAACACATTTTCCTCTGGAACTCAGCAGTCATCCTGTGAACTTTTCTATCTTTGCAATGAAAGCGCGATAATGAAGATGAGGAAAACAAGTAGAGGAATCTCAGGGCCCCCAACAGTTAGGACAGGGAATTTGTAAAAGAAAGTGAAACTTGGTATCATGAATGTGTTCCTAAATTGGTATTCATTAGTGAAATTGTGAGTTGGACCACATGTGGCAGAAGTGTTTCAATTAAGGTCTGTTCTTGGTTTCCATCTTTGTGTAGGAAAAAAAAACCCATTTGAATGACTGCAGCTGTATTCATACGCCAGAAGGTCATTTGTACAAGTGTGGTGCCGAGCTGTTGTGGATGTAAACATATCACAGTTATTTCTATCAAGCACCGCTACAGATTAAAAGTTGTAGTTATGTTTCCTAAACCTAGTTTCCTTTAAATCCACAGAGGTATTTGCTTTGTTGGTAAATGTTCTTACAATTTGTCACAGGGCGGGAAGATTCCTATTCGCTGGACGGCTCCAGAGGCGATTGCATACAGGAAGTTTACCTCTGCCAGCGATGTGTGGAGTTACGGAATTGTCATGTGGGAGGTGATGTCATATGGAGAGAGGCCGTACTGGGAGATGTCCAATCAAGATGTAAGTGTGATGTGACATTGTTATGGAAATACGTGCATTGTGTGCATTTTGTATTTTCATTATGTATTTTGTTGATCTGAATTTGTCTCGATTTGAACTGTTCACCCCACAATGCAACCTCCAAGTGGAATTATTTTTTCACCCAGGGGGCGGTGCATTCAAAGAAGGCAGGATTGTACAACGACCATTAAATAGCTTTAGACAACTGAGACAACGATCTCAGCGTGAGGCCCATCTTGTAGCTGTTCTGTAGCAACAATGCAACTCAGTTTTATTTATGTAGCAACCTTTCACACAAATATACAGCCCCAAGTGCTTCACAGAGCAAGATTATAAGAGGCAAAAACTAAATACAATAATAAGCAACAATGAATAGAATTTTGCAAGGCATGATCTTCTTCAGATTTCATTTTTTTCTCAGTAAAGAACACAGTATAGTAAAGAAAATTAACAACTTGCCATTTAGAGTGGGGTTATGTGCCGGATTATTTCTTGGCTGCAACCAGTAAAGTCCTGGAATCTGGTTGCCTGGCAACTGCAAAGAGCCATGAAGTAGTCCAGCATGTAACCCCCTGAAAAATAGGAAATTGTTGTTTTTTCTCTTTAGCACTCAAGAAACAAAAAAGATACATATATATCATATTAATTAGTGACTCTTTAATGTTTTTGCTACAGTACCCTAATCGACTGTTAGCTGTAGCTCTGTATTATCAGAGCGGTATCGATATTTTCATGTAACTCTTCACCTGAAATCAAGTAATTTACATTTTTTCCCCAAATGTCAAACTTTTGCTTTAAGGACCTTGGAAAGTTCAGCTGAGCAGCTGAAACAGCAGTTTCTATTTCCAAGGTCAAGAATGAATTTTGAACCTCAGCTAGGACACTCTTTCTCTGTCTTGGGGTTTAGACGCAACATGGGGTTGCTTCATATGTTAACACAGGTCATGATAGATTTTGGATAACAGGTATATTTATAATTTTTTATATTTTTTTGAATGTACACACATTAACAGCATTACACATACGTTTCATCTGTCATTGCAGTTTGCATGCAAAGAATTTACTTCAATTGGAGTAGAAAATGTTAACACACGGCCGACTGCATTGTGCTTTGGGAACCTGTGACTTTTGTATAATAAAGACAGCAATGAAGCCATCAAGGGAGAAAAAGACATGTAGGTGAGACATCAGGAGGCTGAATGTGGGTTGAATTAGGGAGGGCTGTGTGGGAACCCATTATTATAAATCTATTACTGCAACGTGTGGACAATGAGAATGAAAAGCTTTAATGGAAACACAGAGAGACATTGTGTGGTATAGAGAAAGGTGTGCGTAAGCAAAAGAGAGAAACAGGTATATACTGGAGGTGCAGTGCTAAGCAGAAAAATGTGGGAGGGAAAATAGTGGGTTGTACACTCACTTAGGCTATCTATCACCCAGCAAGGCTTTTAGATCACATATAAACAACATTCATTTCACTTTATATTCCAATTACAACAGTATTCACAGTACTTTTGAAGATATTTGGCCAAATGCAAAATTGTAAAACTTGTAAATGAGTGGCTGTGGAGTTGTGTACTAGTGGTAGCTCTACTCAGCAAGTACCCACATGACTTGCGTGTGTCTGTTCATCAGAGGGGGAGACCAAGAAAAGTGAGTCAGAGGGAGATGGAGAGAGAAGAGGGTAGCACCTAGATTAAAGTGCGGTCTGGAGTTCATTTTAATGAGGAGAAGTGCAATCTTGTCACATAGAGATGAGTGAGACTGTAGCATTCGATTCAGACACCACACACATGCACTCATTTCCCACCCACAGACACGCACACACAGGCAACATATGCACGCACAGCCCTCCAGTGACCTCTTCATCCCCTGCTTCAGACCCCTCCCTCCTCCTTTTGGTTATTAGGCTGTCTGTCTCAGAGAAGTCTAGAGAGAGGGAAGAGAGGATAGGAGAGGAGGGTGAGAGGAGAAGACGTTTGATGTTTAATTGAAAGCGTTATGCTGGATTTTCTCTGATCTGCGCAAGAAAGTGCAGGCTCTCACACTCTCTTTCTCTAAGCTTCTCTCCTTCTGTTTCCCATTTCTACCCCTTTCGTGCTCACTACTGTCTCTCGTCCCCTCCTTTGTCTTTCAAAAATGCAATCTTTGTCTGTATTCTTTCTCGCCTCTCGTCCGTGTTTCCTTTCTTTCTCCCACCTCGGCCTCTCATTTTCATCCTCTGATCTTTCATCCCTGCCAGTCAGCTATGTGTAGTTCTTCTCCCTCTCAGAGCGCCGCGAGTATTTGATGCTGCGCTTCTCTCTTGTGTTTTGGTCTGTGCGTACGTGCACTTTCATGCATGCATGTGTATTGGAGCGCTATCACGTCTGTCTTTTGTGTGAATTTGACACAAGTAAAGGCTGTCATGAACTTGACAAATCAATTCCCTCCAGTGTCTTGCACTGGCAGAACTAGGCTGAGAACTCCAGCCTGCTTGCCACTGCAGGGTTTAGCATAGAGAGAGCTGGATTTATTTATTATTCATCTAACTCGACCACCCCACCCCACCCAGAAAAAAAATCTCTGATTCAGTGCTGCATCTTTTTTACTTGCGGAAATGATTAACTGGGTTATGTAGCGTGTAAAATAAACAATGTTGATCCTCGGGTTCGTTTTTGCCTGCTAACTTCATGGAGGTTTGAGTGTAGAGTCAGAGCGCATGAGCATCCCTGGAGGAAATATCAGTATTTGGGATCTTGACTGGAAGTAACATTACTTTGGCTGAAGTTTGTTGAGGTCCTGCTGTGAGAGAGATATTACACGTTGAGGCGTCTAACAAGTTGGAAATGATTCATCGTCTTCTTTAGACTATGTTGGTGTTTTTCACTGTCGCTATCTATCTCTGTAAAGGTTATAAAAGTGATGGAACAGATTCCCAATCTTGTGGGGTTTATGTTGCATCTTCATATTACCACTTTGTCTTAAAGTACACATAATCAGCAGATCGGTCAGAGTTGCTCACTGCTCGGATGAAACTGTGTCACAAAATCTCTTGAGCAAACTTTAAAACTGATCATTGTATTTTAAACATTAATCAAGATTCAGTGGCATCATGGCTTACCATAGGCCATGTCTAAGAGGGTGAGAAATTGTTTTGCCCCCAATCCATCAAACTGTTAAATGCTCAGGATGAGTCAGCTGATGATCAATCATACATATAATATGGCTGGGTTATATTTATAATTTCTTATACACATTGTTTATATTATATTATACCTGTACTGTGCAATCAATCTGTATACAAAAATGAGTATAGTGTACATACGTCTATTTTCTATTTATATTATGTCTTGCATTTATGCATCTATTTGTGTGTTGTGTTGTATCTTGGTCTGTAACAAGGATTTCCCCAGTGTGGGATCATTAAAATCTTATTTTATTCTTTAGCAACTGGCAACTGGTGGTGGTCTCTGATATACATTATTTTATGTGAGCTTCTGTAGCATATACATTTAATATATGTTTTGCATTTATTTGTATTTAAGTTTTATGTGTTGTGTATTTTATTTTGGGTTTATGTTCAAGTCTGTTTTTAACTGGCTGCAAAGAAAAATTAGTTGAAGTTGAAGTGATCAGAGGGGAGGACTGAGACTTACATGGCGGAGGGGGTTTCTCTGTTCTGCTGGTCCCCACTCTGCTAACCTTAAACCTTTTGTTCAGCCAGTGTCAATTGGGTGTTTCTCTCTCTCTCTCTCTCTCTCTCTCTCTCTCTCTCTCTCTCTCTCTCTCTCTCTCTCTCTCTCTCTCTCTCTCTCTCTCTCTCTTCACTCCATCCAATTTCTGTTCCCAACCTTAAAATCTCTGTAATGGTGTATTGTACAACTTCATGACTTTTTAAAAAACAAACCTCTATCTGTCTCTCCCCAACCCCCTGTCTGTCTGCAGGTAATAAAGGCAGTAGAGGAAAGCTACAGGTTGCCCGGTCCTATGGACTGTCCTGAGGCTCTGTACCACCTTATGATGGACTGTTGGCAACGAGAACGCAGCAACCGGCCCAAGTTTGATGAGATTGTCTGTCTACTAGACAAACTCATTCGAAACCCTAGCTCATTAAAAAAACTGGTCAACTCCTCACACAGGTATGAATTCACACAATATATTTGGAATATGATATATTTTCTTTGAAATGACAACAATTGCTCAGATATACGTGGCTATTGTTTGTCATTGTCATTGTTCTATTTCGAAGAAAAACGACATGTATATGGTTTTATTTTGAAGAAAAAAATGTATGTGTTTTTTTATGATTTTAAGAAAATCTTTGTTTAAACTACTGATTTAAAAAAAAAAAAAGGGGATGGGGGGATTAAAGCAGTGGATTGTCAACTGTTACACCTGATATATGAGTAAGATATGAATATCTTTCAATTTTAGCCTTTTTTTATTTTTTACAGTTACCAATTCGGTAAAAAGATATACATGAGCTTTTACCAACACTTTTTTAATCTTGAAAATGCATTGTGTTTTAATTGACCTATTCATTCATAAGAGAATTAAATCCCGCACTGCAAGCTAATAGACTCATCATCGTTTGGATGAAATGTAAATAGAGTCTCTATTGAAGTCTTGTGTAGCTGTATAATTAAATGAGGATGGACACAGTCACTAACTGCTGCATGCCGACAAAGACGAGGAGAGAAATAAATTAAAATAGCTTGATTTTCTTAAAACTTTGCATTAGTGTGAATTGTATTCAGTGGGGCATCTTTTGATTATCGCAACATTTGAACATTCAATTAGTATTTCCCCACTATGTGTATGCATTGCATTAGCATATAATGGCATGAAATGGCTATAAGTGCTCTGAAGCAGACATTTAGTCAGACAACCTCATTACCTTACTGTCTTTGCAGACATAATGAAATAATCTGAGGTGTTTTGTCCTCCTTTCTCCTTTCCATGTACGCACTCGGAAACACACACAGGAACACAGCTATAAATGAATCAATTTCATGATTGCCAATCTAACAGCCCTTGCTATATCATATGACTGTTAGCCAGATTAAAGGGACGCCAACAGGGCCAGTCCTTGATCCACAGGACACTCCTGTTCTTGCTACAGTGTGGAGAATATTGTTACGTAGCATGAACAATTCTGTTTGATAGCATGGAAAGCTCTATTTAGTAGCGTGAAGAGTGATCTGAATGGCAGTCAGAGAGAGTGGGCATCCTTAGCTTTGTGTGACAGTGCATAACTAGCATTTCAAAACCTCAATAGTAACTGTCAGGACTTGAGTTTCAGAATGTAGTTGATTGCACAGTGAATCCCACACCTTAATATTTATGATAATGATGTGAAACAGGACTGGTGCTGATTATGTTTTTTTATGTACTTCTGCTACATCCTGACAATGGATACTGTCTGAAATGGTACATGCATAATCTTGTTCTTTCATTTGATTACTGTCTTATTCTTTCTTTTACTGTATCATCAACTGTTTACCAGGGTTTCAAACCTGTTAGTGGAGCATGCCAGTGTAGAAGGGGGCTGCAGCACTCGGAGCCAGACCGTAGGGGAGTGGCTCGACTCCATCAAGATGGGTCGTTACACTGAGCTTTTTATGGAAGGAGGTTACTCTTCACTGGAGACGGTGGCTCAGATGACATCAGAGTAAGACCACTTGCCTACATACAAACATAAACATGTGCTAGGACATCCAGCCATGCAGCTCATTTGCTCAGGTGTAAAGATATCTGTCTCTGGGATTTCTGCTGCCACCCTATTGCAAAGTTATTTACAGATCTTAGCAGTGCAACATTATATTTAAAAAATAAAATTTTAGGGACTATTTCTTCAGTATAATCTGGGGTAGACTGACCCTTTAAAGTTCAAAATTTAGTAAAATTACATGATTCAGACTCAAATGTGGAATGCAGTTCTAATAAAACCCCTAATGAAACCTGCAGTACATACAAAACTGAACTAATTTTTTATTATTACATGTTTTTTCTGGTTAGAGAAGCCATGAACATTGCCACAAAATGCTGTGAAGGTCAAAGCAAAATGAGAAAGCAGGATCTATTACGAGGTTGCAAGCCTGTGAAAAAATTCCAAAAAGCCAGCACCCTTTAGAGAACTGAAAGCTTCTTTAAAGGTAGAGATGGCCACAGAAAGTCAGTATGACCTATGAATGTATAAACCAGGAATACAGAAACAACTATATCAGTATTATAACAATAACATTATAAATTATTTTTTGAATTGCTTTAATCAGGGTATCTACTGTTTAAGAGCTCTTTGTGAGGATATTATATTGATTCTCATACTTCCAACAACACTGTGCTTCAATAAAAATGGCATCAAGAAACATTACAAATAAAACTTAAATAGCAAACAATTATAGTACAGTCAACAAGTCAATCACTTGATTCATAAATGTCTTTATTTGTTAGACTCCTGGATAAATAAGGGCCTGTTCTTTGTGTGCTGTTTTTCAGAGATTTGCGAAGAGTAGGAGTAAACCTGGCTGGACATCAGAAAAAAATCATCACTAGCATTCAGGAGATGAGAGTCCATATGAACAACACCAACTCTACTGTAAACATCTGATGCATATGTACAGGCACACGCACACACACACGCACACATATAAACATACACACAATATATGGACCTAGTATGTGACGAAAAGACTCGGATTTGCTGTTGGACCTAGAGCGGCTAAGCACTTTCTATGGACAAGGAAACCCAGTGTTTATGGATCTAAACTGGGGGGCCCACATTTTTGTGGTTCTTTGTGTGTGCAGTTTGCTTGTGGTGTCATTGGGGATATTTGACATTGCAGCACTAAAACCAAACTGAACTGAACTGAGTGTTGCTACATGAAGGGAATATGATGGTGAGCTTAACTGAACTGGACTCAAGTGAAGACTTTTCATTCTATTTATTCCATTTCTGTGAATCTTGGGGATTCTGATATCTCTGTGCACTGTTTGGATTCTCTCAGATCAAAATGAAACATCGACTGCAGATCTGGCTCTGAGAGCAACCAGCACTTTCTTTGGCTGTATCACAATTATGGGAGTTTCATGCAGTGGGCTCAAACTGAACTTCTTCAGCCTGTCTCAGGTGATCTGAACCCAGTGGATCTGAACAGTACTGACTTTTTTCTCTCGCAATTTTCTCTAGAATTACAGTTCCATGATAATTAATTGAATTGAACGGCATTCTCAGGCAGGGTAAACATGTAATTATGGACCAAGAGCAAAGTCTTCATTCATTTTAGTCTTTGCTATGCCACGCTGATGTGCTTTGGATTTAGTTGATGACCGTTTGGCAAGTCTTCAAGTGACACTACTGCTGTTGTAATCCAGCTGTACTGCTCACGGTCCAGACTCGCATTCAACATCATATACTTCATTATCTTCCAAAGCAATTCAAGACAGGAGTACATATTGCAAGAGTCATTGTTTAGAGAGGCTGCAATTTAAAATACTGCAGTCATTGACAAGGAGACCTTCTGGGTCTCGCTTTTTCCAGAAGAGATGGGTCTTATTGAACCTACAAAAGAAAAGTGTGAAAAGTTAGGCTTTAGGCATTAGGATCCTCTCTATATCTGTATTTCTGGCTGAATGTATAGCACTACACTATTACATAGAACACAGCGCTCAGTTGCAGCATCAACCTGTTATGTTTGATATGTAAATGCTGTCAAATAGGGATAGAATGTGGAAATAGAACCATTCTTGTCCTTAAAACCAGCCTCTGAATGAAGCTGCAGATTGTGTAAGAGATTCAGCTTTCCATCATCTTTGCTTTGAAAATCTGCAGGAATCTCCACTGAGATCTTGATTGGTTCCTACAGAACTGAGCTCAACTCCTAAACCATCCAGTTTCTAATTGATAGTTGCTTCATATAGTGGATACACGAACTTTCAGTTTCCCTGCAACCTTCGTGTAGGTTCTAGCGAAAACATCACACATGCAAATCAGTAACACAGCTTCAATCAGAGTCTATCAGGACTATTTACTGGAACTTTTGCGCAGACACAAATGGATTCTTCACCCATATTCTGATGATCTCATGCAGTTTCTACATCGGACATTCAAATGGAAGTCACACAGGACATTTCACATCATGTTCAAAGGCACTTCCAGTAGGATTTAGCTCGAACATTCAGTCCAGTGGAAATGTCATTCATGGAAAGTTCAGTCGAACCTGATGGAACAGTTGTTTGTGTAAAAATGGAACTGCCATTCAGATACTCCTGGAAAGGATCTCCAAGATCCTAGTGGGACTGTTTACTGATCTTCTAATGGAATTTCTACTAGAATCCCAATGCAGCCTTCACTCAAGAGTACACTCAGATTTTCATGGAGCCTTCAATTAGAACCAACAACCTTCAGGTACGGCAGAAAACCCTCAGTAATCTGTTCAGTCCACCAGTCTACACCACACGTCTGCCACACCACAATAAACCTCACTCGTACAGGACTGCTGAAAATAAGGAGGCAATATTGATCAACTTGATAATCATTTATTTATTTATACTTGTTTAAAAAAAATGAGCAAAAATTATGTAGACGGTTTGTGTTTCATCATAATACTCTCTGTTGGACTACTGAGCAGCTCTGCCTACATGTCTTTCATGTATATAATGTATTATATATTTAAAGCAGGGAGCTTTGTTCTTCTGTCTACCATCATGTGGACAAGTTGGTATTGATCAAGCATCTCAGAGTAGTACACATTAGTAAATAGTGACAAATATTCTAAATCAGCATTCCTGCTACATAGACCTGGGCCAATGTCAGGTGGGGGCAACCAGCACATCTGTCCCCACGTAAGGGTGCCCTAAAGGGTATGCAGAATTATCAGATATTCATGTTATGTTGTTGGTGATTGTGTTTCATTTCAAGTTTTGATGCAAGACCTAGAAATATTTTCAGCGGCCCTAAATGAGACAACAATAAATACTCTGTTGTCTCTAAAAGATGGAGAAGTATGCACAAGGATTAATATGTGAACTTCTAGTATGTAGGTAGATATACAATGATGTCAATGATCAAGCCCTTGTTTAACTTTTTTGGTATGCTCTGTTATACATTGCTACTCAGTGCTTTATTGCTAAAACTTGACCGTTTCACCGTTGTGTTCACTGAAGCAGGAACTGAGTTATGACAGTATATATATCCATCCTCTTTGCAGATGACATGCTAATATTTTTCTTGGTTAAAAACAGTGTACTGCTAGTGCTGTGGCATAAGAGTGGAAACAAAATGAGATTGTAAAGCTAGTTTTATAAGAGGTGGTATCACTTGACTGTATGAAAAGCATAGAAAAGCACATAAGAAGAATGTAAGGTTTTAAAGGGGTATTTCACTTTTTTAGAAAACATGTTTCGCTTTAAAACACTCTGACTTCCATGAGTTCAAGAGGAGTCAAAGTAAAAGACTTCTTTGGTGGTAAAAACCCACCTCACTCATGGCTTTTAAGCTTTTACACCTGCTGTCAAGTTCAAGATCATCCTTCTTGACTGGTTTCATAAAAGAATGTGAGTGGGCAACGGTCACAAGTGTTATGCGTATGTGTATTTAAAAATTAAAATGTTCTACCAGAGTGAAAGTTCACTTGAAAGATAAACATCTGCATAGTCTCTTTAGTCTACATTTATCATTGTGGAGCTTGTACGTTAATATACTATATTGTAGTTTTAATGGTGGGGAACAGTAGCTATTTTGCAATATTAAATGTGTGGTTTTGTACCTTTTTTTAAGCCACAGTGTAAATTTTTTATTCAAGTAGGTCTTATTTATGTCTTCAAAAAAACTCTTTGGCACTAAAACATATATACTGTATGTAGACTATTGTGGCTATGCAGATCTTTAATTTAGCGGGGGAATGCATCAGTGATATGGTGCACCTTTTATATAGACAATATAAGGCATGTACAGTGAAAGTTATCATGCTGGGTGCTTTTAATTCACCATCCAGCATGTATTCAATTAAAACTTCTTCAGCCGTATGAATACCATAGGCGTTTGATGAAGTCTCACAGTGTTTTGATCCTGTCCAAATTTCATGGTATTGGCTTTTTACAACCACCCTTCTCAACTTAATTTTCAACTTAAAGCCTATGCCTGGGGCATGAACAATTGGTGAATAGTACACCCTTATAAGTGCCTCTCATCTTTCAAGCACCATTATGTCCTCCCCCTGCCAAAATGCTATGCCCCAATTGTGCCCCAACTTTCTATGTATTTGCTTTTTGCCAACAATATCTACAGGCAATAACAAGAATGTCAGACAATGTGTATGTTGGAACTAATTTAATTTGCACTTTATGAGAAATCTGTTGCCCTTTTGTTTGACTAAAAATGTCTATAGGTGACTGACTTTTTAGTGTCAAAGTTTTCTTAATTATTTACTATGTAATTACTATAATTACTGTGTTCCATTATGCTGATTATATCACTTCATATTCTCAATGCTTCCGCAATTTGACAGTTAAGCACAAAGCATTGGTAATATTTTTAAAAACAAATCAAAGCTATATATATATATGGAAAACTAAAGCATCATTGATGTAGAGCACCATTTTCTTGTGTACGGCACAACGATACACCTTCAGAACGTAAGCACAGGGTTTGACAGAAATCTTATAGGACAACAAGCGGATGATAGGATTTTGTACAAAGGTCAATAGCACTAGCCCTTGATGTCAACAAACTTCAGCCAGACATTTTGTTTTACCATTTTTAGCATTACCACTTTTAAGTACAAAAGTGTAAAAACAGGTATTGATTTGTTCTCAGTGCAAGCAACAATAAAAAATACAGTTTAATGATAGGTCTTGCTGCGCAAATATCTTAATTCATTCAAATGATTTATTCTCAGCACTTTTGCAATGGCATGATTTTATCCTGGCCGTCTCTTATTAAGCAATTCTCATTCAGCAGGAAGAAACAAAGCACAGCAAACCAGCAGAGACTGAGATTTTTGATGTGTTGTTACTCGACAATGACTGTCAGCTGGGACTCCATCAACCATGCAGTGAAGTGTTTATGCAGGAGCCAATTTTTTTGTGTTAAATTAGGTTACATAAAACCTTTGACGTAACATCAGAATCAGCAACAAATTTTTATAAGTTCTTGCATTCCTACACATTGGAGTTTTCAGAATTGGCTCCTTTAAAAAAAAAAAAAAAAAAAAAAAGCACTGCATACATCGTTAGATAGGAGGTCTGATTCTAGCATATGTACAAAAGCAATACCTGATATTAATAGCAAAAAATCATATTTGCATACACAAATGTGTGAGGATATGACAACCGTAAAAGGTTGTACTGGCATCCTAATAGTTTTAAGACACTTCATAATGATGAAAAACATAGTGTTGGTGTCTTTAAAAACCTCAGAAATAAAGCAGAGAAGTGGGCGGGGTTATGTCTGGGCAGTGACAGTCCTAATGACTTCCTTAGACTATATAACTATTTCTGACAAGCTGTTTGAGCATTTCCAATAAGTAGACAGTATGGCATTTCTTTCAGTTGAATCATCAGCTCCAGACAATGAGCAACTGTGCTGATAAAAAGTCAAATGCACAAGGATGTTTGGAATAACCTTAAACTGATTTCACATCGCTAGCTGACATCTTTGTCATGGCAACAGCTAATGAGGTGTGTGGGTAATGTAGTATGTTGTGCTACTGACGAACCACATTGTGGGAAAAGGACTGTTTCTCAGAAGCCACTGTGAGTTGAAACATTTACAACCAGTATATGGGTAAAAAACTCCAGTGTTTGTGTGATGAGTTACATTGAGATTTTTGCTAAAAGTAAACTTCAAATTTGCATATTTGCAGTGGGGAAAATACTTCTCTACCAATGGCTCCGCCCACTTCATAACTGTATAGTTAACTTCTCAGGAAGTGGAAAATAGGTACATTTGTTGGGTTGTGACACATTTGGTCTTAGGGAAAATGTGCAGCTTTCACTCAAAGTGTCAACATACACAAGCAAGTATGCGGTTATTAGGTTTTCCCCAGGTAAAAGACGATCATGTTATCAGTAACTCACATATAAGGTTTTAACAACGGAATAACTGTTTTGTGATTCTTTGAAAGCACAGTAAAAATACTTAGCTATTGATGTGCTATTGATTTGTCTTTGAGACTGTCATGTATTATGTTTGTGTTGATGTTTTTGTAGTGTGTTATCAAATTCTATATTTTTGCAATAAAACATCTTAAAAATCATCTCTTGAAGTAGTTTTCATTGTCCAGTAATGCCAAAGCATGACACACCCCATCTCATTCTTGCTTTACTGTATGTGTATGTCACCAGTACTACCTGGGCTTAGGATGCAGTAAAAGTCTGTGTTCTACTATTCACTATTTCACTATTCACTGAATTTTTAGCCATGCTAGCAACAAGCTCTAGGGATGAATAGTTAAGTTAAGATGACAAACATAGTAAACATAATATCTGCTGAACTTAACCACGTTAGGGCCCTGTGAGCATAATACAGCAGTACAGTAAGTACAATCAGTTGCTAGCGTGACTTGTAGTTTACTAGTCCTGTTTACAGATGTCCTCAGTGACAAAGCCATGCATTTTTTGGGTTTACCTTAGAGAAAGTGGGGGAAAAAACTTACCTTGCCAATTTTAGCAGTGATGAATAGAGCATGTTTCAATTAGCAATGTTTTATGGATGCAGCTGTGTGCATTGTAGCTTCATACTGTTATTGCTATCTTCACCAGTTAATAGACCAAACCACAGGCAGTGAACTTTATTGTAATGTACTTTGTTAGGATGTGTGATCTGTTTTTGTCTGTTTATATCTCTTGTTGGTTTCTATGTAATGAGCTACTGTATTTTAGCCAAACAATGTAATTGCTGAAAGATGTTTCCCAGCAATGCAATTAGACATGCTTTATTGGTTGAGATACCAATTGTCAGGGTAACAAGGGAGCCGGTTTGCATTTTTTTCTCTTTGTCTAGATGGAGACTGGGAGGGGAGGGATAGATGGATAAATGAACACAGGCAGCTTTTGATCTAGGAAGCAAATCAAATATTGCCCAAGTACAGAAAGTTACCCCAAATAACACGGTTCCCATCTATGTTGTGAGACATTTGGTGTTGTTGTTGTCAATGGTGCATCAAGGCTGAAAACAGAATCCAGTAGAATACAGTTCATCACCAGGTTATAGTGATAATGAGGTGTAAGGTTCTGTAATATGCATGATGTTTTAAAACCTGATGATGCAAGACCTGGCAATGGTGTGTCTGTCAGATGCATTAGCTGCTGATGTCAGCAGCTTGTGTGTTTCTGTGATCCCTCTCTTACAAAAGAGACAAACATGTGAAAGCCTTGCTAACAATTAGTGTATTATACAAGACTAGTATATCTGATTTTATTTTCTAAATCATATGCACAATGTAGTGAATGGTCTTTATGGAGGACTTCTTATTTCTTCTTTCAATATAAAATTATTTGCTTAATCTCCTTTGCAATACATTAAAAAGAAACTAATTTACACTTCTTTTTGTGATTTTTGCAATAACCTTGAATCACGTGCGAAGGTAATGCACAGTTCTTACGGTGCTACAGTAGTTTATATGTAAATATCAGCACCAAATGGTGTGTGCGTGTGCGTGTGCGTGTGCGTGTGTGTGTGTGTGTGTGTTATGATGTCAAATCAAACCTAGCTGATCTCTTGGGGAATCCACTGCCTGCATGGCTCAAGGTGATTACTCCACTCACACACACATTAAGTGTATGAAGGTGAAATTAGCCATCAATGTGGCTATTACAAAAACCTCTGTATCAGCGACTTGAAGAAAAAGAGCTGCAGGGTGTGTGTGCATCTCTGTGTGTGTGTGTGTGTGTGTGCATGTATGTGCGTGTTAGGATTGCACAGGGGCCATATTCCCACTGGTGCTGACTGGGATGGTTCTTGGATGGATGGATGGACTGGTCTCTAGCTTTGGGCAAGCCTGGCTGTCTCTCTGTATGTATGCATGTCTTCACGTAACCTGCCTGCCTGCCTGCTCGTCTGCCTCTCTGTTTTGACCAGCTCCATCTGCGCAACTGCTACATGCCTGTACATCTTCATATGTGCATGACATTTAATTTGTGACTCTATTAGGTCTTCCTGTCTGGGTTTCTGTTTGCCTTTACATCTCTGTCCCAGATCTGCGTTGCTAACTGTCTGGCTGTCTATTAGACCGTCATTGTGTCAGTCTAAAGTCAGGTATCCCAGGGCACGATAAAGTAATTTTCCATTGAAAAGGTGTCAGTGGTCGAGGCGTCCCGAGGGTCATTTGAAAATCATTGCAGGGATGCCTCTTTAATCATTATGAATGACCTTCAGCAGAACCTTAGCTGTCAGTTTAGGCGTGACTGTGTGGGTGTCTATGAATTTGTGGATTTCTGTGTAAGTATGTCAGAATGTTGGCATGTCTGTGGGTAAATGAATGCATTTTTCTGTACTTTATGTGTTTGTACTGTATGTGCTTCTACATCTGTCTGTGTGTCTCAGTTTGACGTTCGATTTGTTTTGGCTGCTTATCACATTTGATGCAATTTGCTTGTCTAAATAAAAACGTTATCGTAAGAGTCCTGCAGGAAAGTGGTGCAGAAAGTACTTTGTAGTCAAAAGCGGGTGCTGGTGCAGATTTTACAGTGGGCTGGGTGTTTAAAACGGCAGTGCTCTTTTGATGCAAGCTTGACCTAGCCTTTTAAAAATGCAGAAACTTGAAGGGAAATTATAAGCCTTGTGAGGTTATGGTCACCTCACATTTATATTGGTTTTTCAAGGAAGGACTCATTCTCCGAGCTGTATTAATTGTATATTGATTATATATATATAATAAAAAATAAAAAAGAGTTCTAGTTGGGCAGTTGATATTGTCTTTGATATAAAGTACAATGACCCCTTGCAATTACTTATAGGAAAACTTATTTTCCACATATGTCCAGGTCATGGCCTCCTAGTTGACAATGTAATTTTTTAAAAATCACTTCTCATCCAGATGCAAGCTCAAGGTGCATGTGGCCAGATAAAGCTGCTCGCCTTCATGTAGCAGCCACCCTCAACACCCATTAAACTGTTACAGGAGGTCTGACCCAGACCAAATAAGCTGCTGGTAAATAGCCTTATCCATTTTGCTACTGATCCGAGAAGCCTGCCATGAGAGGGCTGTGTGATGTCAAGTGGCTGGCAAGGACGCACATTTAGACACACACACACACTCACAGAGAAACCTTGACAGCGGTAGCAGTCTGGCAGGTCTTTGTGTAGTGCTGGAGATAACTCAACACACACACTGGCGCTCTCTTTCTCTCTCCCCCTCTCCCCCTCCCTCCCTCTCTCTGTCTCTCTCTCTCTCTCTCTCACCCACAGTATCTGTCTCCTTCGTACAACGGCAGCCAGAGGGACGTATTTGTCACTTGCCCAGATGTTTTTCCAAGGTCCTTTATTCGAAGCAGTCAATCATATGAGCAGAAATGTCCCTAATGTGAGGTCCCTTTTGTGCAATGGCTCCGTGTGTGTGTTCAAGTTTGTGTATGTGCAGCCATGCATGTGTGTGTGGAAGGTCAGTCAAGGTGAGATGAACGTGCAGTTAACCTGAGACACGGGGAGGTAATATATTTATAACAACCACAATACCTCGCACACACTGCACACACGCACATACAGTTGCTATTTCTCTGGTCTAATGAGGTCTGTCAACTCTGGCACACACACACACATACACACAGATTTTAACTGACTTGGCTGGGCACACACTCTTTGTTCCTATTTTCTCCTTAAGAACTAAATCAAGCATCTGTATCCGATGCAATTTCATTCACGATGCTCTTGAATGCTCACAAACCCATTTCCATTTTAAGTGATGAAATCATTTGCAATGACTATGAAAATGTGATGCAAAGAAAAATATGTCATAATTATTGCTAATATGTCAGATCTGTAAAATAAATACATTAACTCTGGCTATCTTATAGTCAGACCAATAGCTGAAAATGTAATATACATGATTATTTTTCTTCTTATCATCAAATCTGCAAATGTTATGTCAACCAAGAACATAAACCTTTCCTAATTTTCTTTAAAACAGGGTTTTTGCCACCTTTTGTAGTCCTTGACCTCATTTTTTGGTCCAAAATATGTAGTATGGAAACAGCTTTAAAACATGTAATGAAAATGGATGAGACTTGAATCTTAAAAATCTCCAGCCGCGTATTTTGCATATGCAGATGCTTGTAATGCAAATATCACAGCTGGTGTTACAGCAGCATTAACTTCACCTGATGAACAAACAAAAGGTAAAAGAGACGTAAACGTTCCATGAGATAAAGCCATACGGCCATGACAACCCCTGTAGGCACTAAAGGATCGTGTAAGAGAAGTGCTAACAAAGAGCAGCAAAAACTAAGGATAAAGGCGGAATGGATTTTAAGAGTTTCACGTCAAACCTTGCATGGTGTGCACTGCCACATTTGGAGGTTGTTAGCCCCCCTCAACCTTGCTCCATAATGAAGAGGTGCTGCCTGCCCACTGAGCTGTCTGGTCTGATAATTATTTTGACATTACCCACTGAGAGCTGGAAGGGAATTATCCTCCACAGCGTCTGCTTGCCATACATTCTCCATAATCAGCCTCACCATGCATGGGTTAATGTGTGCATGCACTGTGCGTGAGTACAAAATGTGTGTGTATGTGGAGCATGTTACAAATGGACTCACTTTACTTTTTGCTGTTATGAAGGTGCATGATTCAATTCAATTCTTGGTGAACTGGCCGAGTGGGTGTAGTGGCTGGGTAACGTACAATAAATAAAAGGCAATGCAGATGAAACAGCAATATTAGTACTGCAGTATGGGATTGTTGGTCTTATATTGGATACAGGATCTTCTGTTTCAGCTTTTGGTGAGAAGAATGCAATAAAACACCTACAGATAACTGGGCTGGAGGCTTCATTAGAGGTGTTTTTGCTCTACTTTTGTTCATTACAACACTGCTTGCTTCTAAATGTGAAGCCACATAACATTGTTTATTAACTTTTGATATCCCACACAGTGATGCTTGCACAGTGTACCCTTAATAATTCTGACTGGGTTAAGAATGTTGCATAATAATGCAAAGCAGCAAAAAACCTCTGTGAAAGTATCCTTAGGGAGAGAAGGACCAGATGTTTCTCACAGTTTGAGCAAACGTTTTGGTTCATGAAGTCAAAAATATATTTTT